GGTGGCTGGCTATTGTAGAACTTTATTGTTGAAATTTAATTTGATATAATAAGTATGCAATTTTCTTTAAGGAAAATATTTCTGTTATATTTAGATTATTTTCTAAAATTTAATTTTTTTTAAGAAATTGTTACCAAAATAACACTATTTTAATATTTTTTTTTTTTAACTTCAGGTTGTATACATAATATAATATAGATTTAACAGATATAGTCCAATAGAAATTTATTTAATAGGAACCTATATACGAAATATAGGTACCTAGATACTTTTGATTTGTATTGCAATTTTTATTACTGTTTTCATTACAGACACGAACTTTTCAACAAGTTCATTATTTTAAATTTCAAACAAGTTAAAGTGAAAAGTAGTTTTTAAGGTATTATTGCTTGGAAACATTTCTAACTCTTTAGATATTCTTGTAACAATTACTTTTGATACCAAAGATATTATAATTTTAAGTTTTCGCTTTAATTTAAATATCTTCTTTCAATATTTGTTTTCACCATTTTCAAAAAAATTCTTGAAACCGCTTTTATTTTATCGAAATTTCACTTTAAATGAAAACAAATGATCTAACACATTATTTATTTTACTTTACCAAACAAAATATTGATTCTTTTCTCTAATTCAATGTGAAAAGTCCCTTTGCAATGAGAAAAGAAATAATAATAAAACAGTTTTGTCAAAATTTATTTACTATGTTGGGCTCTTACAAAGAAATTTAGTTCATGGTGTACATATGATGAGACACGGCAAAAATTTGTGTGTTCAATTGACTATAAGAAGTTCATAAAATTGTGTGTTCAGTAGAGCAAATGCCTACTGTATATACATGTAATACATAAATTATGCTAACGATAGTAAATTTAAGTAATTATATTGTACGTGGTACACATGTTATTGCCATCTAACTATTTACATAATTCACGAAAATTTTATTTCAATTATTTTTATTTCTAATTTTTTTTTCGTAGGAATTTGGCGACTGTATTTAACATAATATTTGCAAACAATATGAATGAAATTTATTTTATATCGGCCATTTTAAACAAAATCGATTTATGTATGTAAACAATATTTATAATACCTATGAAATTCTAAAGTAAATAAGTATTTATATACAACACATATTTCGTAGATCTGTAAAAAATCAATGATAATTTATGAGCATAATGTATCAATAATTAATTACAGAAATTTTTTTGATATATAAATTGTGAAAAATGCATACTTTTGAATTCATTTTTTTTAAATAAAATTACATACATAGATTTACAATGTATGTATAACTACTATATAAATTAAACAACCAAGATTATAGCTTAAAAACATTCGGATGCTGACGTAGCACAGAATTTAATTAAAATATAAATCTATAAATAATATTAAAATCTTATTTACATGTACATGTGTAAATTTACGGGATTTAAGTATAAGCAAGAAAACTTGAACAAATAGCTAATGAGTGCCCCTGTATATTTATTATCCTTCTAGATTATAAGCCAGGAAAAATAAAGAGCAACCGATTCAATTAAATAAAAATTGCTGTGAACAGGTACATACTAATAAAAAAAAACAAATAGCCCCAAAACTGTGATTCATTGATTTGTCAAACTTTGAAGAAAATTGATTTTGTATACAAGTAAGAAGATTCATACATTAAATTACAATTTTTATTTAAATATACAAAGCCCTGCACAATTGTATTTTACGGGATCCATACGGAGTTTTCGCTGTAAAATATTTATTTCGTTGAACAATCTTGTTTGTTTTATTAAACAAAATTTTATTAATTAAATGTAATTTTTAAAATTTTCAATATTTTACTAATAATTTTAAGCAAGAAGCTTAGGGTTTACTTCTTTAAATTCTTTTGAATTCTTTTCAATTTAAAGAAGTAAACCCTAAGATTTCTGATTTCTTTCTTTTGAATTAGGGCTTACTTCTGTAAAAAATTGTATTTCAGTGAAGGAGTTTTTATTTATTCAGTTCTAGAATAGTTCTAGCTTGTAGTACGTTTAAAAATTCAATCTACATTTGTACTGAAAATATAGATCGTTGAATATTACTGGCTGTAATAAAATGCGTTCGGAAATTCAATGTGCAAAAAAGAAATATTAGAAATGTAGCGCAGACCTCTAGTTTACATTTTGTGGCTGCTTAAAAAAATTTTAATTTTCAAAATGGCAGATTGAGATATTGAAAGATTTTAATAAGTTTTGTTCAAGTCTTTAAATCTCGATAAAATTTCCTAGTTTTGCAGTGAATTGAAAGGTGTAAAGTATTGGGATATTTCTTTTTGTTATTTTCGTATTACTGATTATTTAGAAGTTTCAGAATTTGTAGATTGCGTAAACAAAAAAACTTAGCTGAATACTGTTGCATACTGTTTAACACTGCGAATTAGAAATTTTAGTTTTAATGTAGAACTTTTAACGTAGCAATCATAAATGAAAACTCCCCGAAGAGTAATTCGATAGAAGTAAAATTTGTTTACGTACACATTTAACTAAAGACTAATTCAGAAAGTAAATAAAAACACCAATATTTGATTTTGTAATTTAAAATAAGCCACAAAAGACGGAATATGACAAAATTAACTACAACAAAAAAATAATTTTTGAAAAAATATTCCATTTCTCACACAAAAAATTTACCTACCAACCTACCTACCCTACATAAATACAAAAAATATTTATTTAAATTATGGAACCCTGAGGTAACTATCTACCATATTTTATTTTACCTAAAATATTTGAAATTTCTGTTGACTGAAAAAAAACTTTGACATTATTTAATATGACAAGTTTTTTTTTCAACAGTATATACATTTTGCTTTTATATTTATAAAACATAACGTCATGTCTATACTGATTATATACATACATATATACATTTATATGTTTCCTCTTCTTTAAACAGAAATTTTCAAACTGTAACATAAGGTGTATGGAAATTGTAATAACAAAATATAAGTAAATACATATATACATAGCTATATAAATATACGCAATTTGATTCTTACGTTTACATGTATGTATATAATATTAGCCATACGTACATACATGTATGTACGGATGTGTGGCTACATTGTATACTTTTTTTTTCTTTTATTTTTAAGATAATTTAAAATCATTAAGAAATGAATTTTTTTTATTTCCCTATTTTTAATATACGATAATCTTAATTTTGAAATTAAAATTATATTTATATTTTATATACATACATATAGCAATATACATATATTTATGTATATTCAAACAAAAATACATTCATTTCATTTTATATACATACATACATATTTACTTCTTTACCTATATAAAATTCAAAAATCTTGTATTTAAACTCGAAAAACTAAAATGGCAGCATTGAAACTCAATTTAAATAAGTTGTGTGTATATTGTGGACCTATATACATATGTAGGTAGGTATGTATGTAATTTATTTCGTGATTTTTATTTAAATCAAAGGAAAAAAAATGTACATTTTCTTTGTAATCACGTACATACATACATATTATTATATCATTTATGTATGTAACAATGTTATCTTAAATGATAGGTATTTTTTTTGTAACATTGTAAGTGTATATATATATACGTATTTTTTATTAATTTTATTGTATTCCACTAGTTTTTGAATTCTCATTCTTATTGTTGTAATTTTTTTATTTATATAAATTCTCTAACTATAAAAGCATGTTATATAAATATATATGTACATACATATTAATGTATATATGTATTTATAAATATATGTTAATATCATATGTTTATTTTCATCATTGAAATTTATTTAAATTAATAAATAATATTATAAGTTATGGTATGTATGTTTATATTACAAAAAAATATATAATATGTAGGTACATATATATGAAAGTAGGTACCCTACCTATCTATCTACCCTATAAATAAAAATTATATAGAAAATATCAATTCCGTAATGTACATACATTCGTACATACATTTAATGTCAATTTATTTCCCCATAACTATATACATATTTTTATAAAATATATACCTATATACATACAAATATAAATAATACCCTGAGCAATATATTAGTATGTATGTAATATGAAATGAAAATATAAAATATTAATATGTATACGCAAAATATATTTATGATTATAACAATATAACATACATATATATAGATATATATATATTTTAAACACATATGTATGTATGTAAGGATGAATGTAAAAAAAATGATATGATTTGAATTTTATTTTTTTTCCTGCTGCTGCTTGCTTGCTATCGATATTTTATTCTGTGGTGTTATGGAATAAAAAAAAAAAAGAAACAGCAAAAAAAAAACAATTTAAATATGAGAAAAGAAAAAACTTGTAGTGCTTTCAATATATAAAATATATATATTTTTTTTTCAATTTTATTTGTAGCTTTTATTGTGGTTATGTGTCTTATGTCTGCCATCATTAAAAATTGAAAAAACAAAAAAAAAGGTGCCCCACAATTCAATTGGATAATATTTATATGTATATACGTATGTAATTATTCATATATAGCTTTTAATTTCGATATACTAAGTATGTATTCTTTGTATGTATGAGTTCATACAAAAAACATACACTATACATAATTATACTATATAATTCGGGGAGCCCACATAGAAAAAAAAAAACGATTTTTCATTTTTTCTTCTTTTCTAATTTTATGTAGTTTTCTTACTTACTGTTGTTTCCTGAATATTTTTTTTTCTATTTCATTTTATAACAATTTAATTATGTATAATTTTTTTTTTTTTGTAATTTTAATAAATTCATAATCTTTATTTTTTAATTTAAAAATAGGTATTACGTTTTCATACGTAATTATTTATGTATACATATATATGCTGTATGAAAATAAAGTATATACATATGTATGTATATAATATTGATACATAAAAAAAAACCTTATATACTTATATATTATAAAAAAATTATGTATGTTTGAATAAAAAAATTAAATGAAAAATTTTTTTTGAAATACCTTTTGCGCATTTCAATTTCAAATTTTTTTTCTTTTCATTATGAGACTTCAAAAATTTTTTCTTTTCTTTCAACTTTTTTACTTTTTTTTTTTATTAAATTTTTCGATTATATCAGCTGTATTTTTTTTTTCCTTTTTTTTTTATAACTTTTTCTTTTATATTTTATTTGAAAACTAATAAAAAAAATTTTTTTTAATTTTTCTCTTTGTTATTATTGCTTTTATTTTTTATTTAAAATAAAATGTTTTTTTATCTTTTTTTTTAAACTTTAGGTTTTTTCTTCAATTTTAAACGATTTTTTTTTTTTAACAAAAAAAATGTCTAAAACAAAAAAAAAAAATTTCTTTTTTTCTAACCCTTCGATTAGATTTTTTAAACACATAAAATGTTCTTCCCTTTTTATTTTTCAACGATTTCGTACGCAGTTCAATTTCTGACTGATTTTAATAAAATTTTCTCAATTTGAAGAACTAAAGGTTTTTGATTGCGTTAATGTATTCGTGTGATTCATACACATAAAAGAAATAATTACAAAACTAATATATAAATGGCAATTGCGTTTGTATATAAAATATAAATCCAGTTATTCAGTAGAGAAGAGATACGAGATTCAATTGTGTGCGTGCGATTACTGCGAAAACTTGAAAAGCTAAAAAAGGTCGAATGTGTTTGCATGTATTTTAATAATGTTACATTTTATATTGTATGTATATAAATTAGTGTTGCCAGAGACGATTTACATTGAAAAAAAATATGCGTTTTTAAGCAACAGTAACTATTTGACGTTTATATAAAAATACATATTTTTGTTAAAATTGAATATCAATTTTTCGTATAATTATATAAGATCTTGCGATAAATAGAGAAAACTACGCTATATTTGTGCTCATAAGGAAATGTTGCTAAGCCAATCTGTTCATAAATATTTTCACATTATTACGAAATTAGTTATGAGTATTATATTATTTTCATAATTCACATCGTACATTTCTCGATGAAACACATTATGTAGATACAATAAAATCGTAATCGCTATGAAAACGTTCAAAAAAACATAAATTATACCTGGCAGCTATATACACAAATGTACATGTTTATTAATTTATCATATACTTATACATATATATATACGTATTTATATTAGTTTAGTACCGTATAGAAAAAAATATTGTGAAATAAAATGTGTGTTTCAATTAAAAATATAAAAAACAAAATTTAATATAATATTTTTAAAAATAATTCGTATGTACAAAGCAGTAATAATTACTTTTGCTTACGAATTTATGTGCATATGATTGGCATGGAAGCACATTATAAAAGTAAAAAGAAGTTGAGCTTCCAAAAAGCACAGTTTAATACATACATATATTTTTTATGAAAAGTAAGCCCATCTGCAATCTACATACATATACATACATACATGTACACAGCCAGCTATTTCATTTTTTTATCACATTTCTAATTTTGAATTTAAAGGCTCACTTAATTAGTTAGAGATTAATGTCTCCTATGTGTGTATAAGTATGTATAACATAGTAGGCATTTATGCATTCGATCTCAAAATTTGGAAGTAAGCACTTTCTGTGTTTTTATTCCTGAGACCAATCCAAAGCAATTTTAAATTCAATTTAATTTACATATATGTATACATATGTGAGTATATATTTTCGCTGTAAATATATAATGTTTATTAATTAACGAATTCCACAATATGAAGTAAATTATAGTGTAAACAAAAAGTGCATGCTAGTAGGATAACTTTTAAAAAGTTTATTTCTACTTTTGTGTCTGGAAATTGTTTGCTTTAAAATAACATGAAAAAAATCGATATTAGGTCACCATGTAGTCAAGAAAAGTATGAACATACTTTGAAAGAAGACATATTTCATGGGTTTGAATTTCAATACTTAAATTAAAGTAGTAAAATTAAACTCTGAGAGAATCTAGTTTAACAAAAAAACGTCAAAACTGGGAAAGAAAAATTAAACTTTTGAAAACTGACTTTGCATAAATTGCACTGCAGCAATGTGTTTTGTTTCACAATGACAATTTGTAACAAAATTTAAAAATTCTAATTTTTCAGTTTATGAGCTTGTTTTTTGTATTATGAAACATCTTCAAAATAAATTATTCAGTCAGTGTTATTGTATGATATTTTATAAAAATAATATATTTATGGAAAACTTACATTTTCATTTAGTTTTGATGATTGTGGCATAATGAGGTTTTAACTAAACTAATACTAACACATAGTAAATTATTTTTGACATCATAAACAATTTATGCATACAATATGTATACGTATTTTGTATATTTTTACATGTACATATTATATTAATAATAATAAAGTCATAATATAAATACATATGTATGTACATAAATAAAAATAAAGTCTTGGACATTAGGTTAGTGAAGGTAGGCGAAAGGAATAATTTGCAGGCGTTCTTAAGAAGTTTGTGGTTTGTAACATCGTAATGTTTGGAAAGCAAAATTTTTATTAATTTTTTATTTAAAAAGTTAAGTATAATTAACCAAAAATTATGATAAAGCTATAATTTCATAATATGTATATAAATTTAATTTAAAAAAGAAAACATGTACGGGTAAATTTTGCAATGTAACCAAAACAAAATTGGAAAAACAATGTCCAGACCTAGAATTTTATTAAGTCAGCATTTTTTTTTCTTAAATTTGCTAACACTCTTTATTTGTTTTATGCTCTTTTTGCTCTTTTAAAATATATTGCCTTCGCATTTTATTTTAATAATAATGTTTATGATATGTTAGAGAAAAAAAAGAGTTGGCAGCGCTTGGGACTTTAGTATTAAGGGTAAAAAAGCTTACTTGAGACATACTTTTGTTCAGAATTTTATGAACAATTCAGAAGATTCTTTATACTTATTCAAGTTAAATAATACTAAAAAAATATTTTTAAATTATGAAATATTCAGGAACATTAACGATTTCCGATGTTTAAGCATAAATTAATATGGATCCTTTTAGTCAAGATGTGGGGTTTGGAATCTATAATTAAAAAATAAAGTTATGTAAAACTCCCGAAGCAAACAGAACATAGAGTGAAAAAATGAGAAATTTTCGGTAACAAAAAAAAATTTTTGTTGAACGAACATGTGATAGATACGAGTATATGTCCATACATGATGCATATTTATTTTTGACAACTAGGTATGTGATTTTACATTTTATTGTAATTTATTTAAAATTTCACGTTCTTACTCTAGAATTTTACGAGAAAGTTTTTGATATATTCAAATATTTGCAAAAGACGAGACAAAAAAAGAGAGCTGGTGAGATCAACAATTTAAATGTCCGCTAATATTGACACTGCACGTTTTAACATCTTGTTTAGAATGTTGAACACTTGAAGATAAGCACTATAAATATGTGACAACTCGTTCAATGTATTATATATCAGCGTGCTTTTTTCGTTTTGCATTATATTTTACAATGTCATTAAAAAACCAAGAAATTTTAATAACTACTTAAATAAAATATTTAAAGACATATTTTGTACATATACAATTTTTTCCTGATGTACAGTTCCTAAGAATTTGCAAAAGCTTAACAAAGGTTCGACAACTGTTTCGAATGTGTTATAACGAATTACGGAAAAGTGACAACTTCGTTTCAAACGTTTTGGTATCTTTTCAAATATTCAAGTAATTTGGTTTCTTTTCAGCCGTTTTTAATACAAATTATTAAATAACGAAAAAATAAATTTCAATTTAGTTTACAGAAGTTCAAAAATGAGATGTTTACATATTTCTCTAAATTTAGGCCATATATTTATGAATTTATGACCATGTTTTTTTTACTGTCAAAGAGTTTTGGATCTGATAATTGCGTCAAAATATTGTCAACGCTTTTAATAATTTTTATATGATTTTAATATTACACAATTTCTTAAAATAAAAATTATATTTAAAAATAAAGTATTTTAGAATTTTTAGAAAATGAATCATTTCAGGAGATATTCTAAATATGTATGTATGTATACATATATCGTACATAGTTGCTATATCATAAGCATAGCGTTTCGGAAAGACGAAAGAAAATTTTCAACAATAATTTTTTGGAAACTCTCATAATTAGTCAACACAGAGAGTTCGAAGAAATCAATGGTGTATTGTTCTTTTAATTCACCTACGTATTTTTTTTTCTCGTACAGTGATGTGATAAAGAACGTACATCTGAACGTATTATGTATTTTTTACGTAGACTTTTCAAAAAGTAACATTATACAGATTTTTATCCATGTGGTAATTTCTTTGTTTATAACATTACACATTTACAGATAGATAACATGTTCACATGCACAGTGCATATTCAAAAACCTAAGGATGAACTAACATCGTTTTTCTAGCATATTATACATACATAATTATGTTTGTATGTATATTTGACGTATTTGTAGATATTATGTATTTATCTTTAATTATTATTTAGTCAAATCAAAACAAGAAAAGGTTATTTTGAAATTTGTTTTGAAAATATACAAAAATACTAATGTTACAAAGAATATGTATGTATGAATATATATATATGAAAAATACATAACATGTTTGTTTATTTATGTTATACTTGGACACTGAGAGAACCAAATTAAACGATTATGCGTGAAAATCGGAAAAAATTAATAAAAACTCTACAGAAAATATTACTTTTTTTTTATAATTTTATTATTGGAAAATGCAAATTTAATTTAAAAAGTTTTAAGCTTATGTTTGCACAAAAGAAAAAGATTTTTTTAAAAATTCTCTTAAATAATTTTTAACTTTACGAAAAATAAAAGCATTTCTTGAGAAATGAGAGCGACGAGAACAGTGTCCGGGCTTTGATTTTATTTCCTTTGTATTATAATTTGAAGCAAAGATGCTGCATGTAAAATAAGTAAGTATGTGTTATGCATATGTTCAAAATATTCACCGTCATCGCAAACTGTGCATGTGCACAAAATGTTTACTTATTTAGAACAATATATGTATGCAGATGCATGTACTTGTATGAAATCAAACAAGTCTAATATGTGTGTGACTTGATTTTTGAGAAATTTTGAGAAAAAACTTTTGTTATACATATGTATAACAATCAACAACAGTAGCAAACCAGCTTTATCACAAAATCCCAGAGAGTAAGAATTATGGACAGCAGCGCATCTTATATATTATAATAAAAATCTCTGCAGAGAAAAACAAAGAAATACATCAAACTTTTTTTTATACAATCTTAAATTTTAATTCAATTTAATTTGTTGTCAATATATGATTTGCAAATCAGTTAAAGATATTTAAAATAAATTTATTAACTCTTTAAATAAAATGAATGCCTCACTACACTGAAATCTCCTTGTACATATGTACATATTATATGTATAAATGAGAAAAATAATTAGTACGAGAAATAA